AGGCTGCAGCCCCTGCTGCAGTGGGTTGCCATGGGCTACCGTGTGTAGCCAGCAGCCAGCGTGAGTGGCCAGCAGCCACAGTGAGCGGCCGTCCAGAAGTCGGCGACTGATCTGCCTTGCCCGGGAAGAGCGTAATGATGGTGCCAACTTGGACCAGTGAAGCAACATCTTCCACAACTAGACTGAAGAACAAAAGGACAGCAACTTGTCTGTTCCCTTCCCCCAATTCCCCAGCGCTGTTCCCATCCCCCCAATTCCCCAATAAAAATCTTAAAAAAGAAAAAAGAAAAGATAGGGTGTGAGGTGGGACCAGGCAGGGCCATGGAGGTTTGGCAAGGGACTTCGGTTAAACTCCTGACTGTGACCTTCTCAGCAGTCCTTACAGCTACCTGAGCAAGGAGCAGGAGGCTCAGGAGTAAAGTGACATCCTAGAGAAAGGCAGCTCTGAGGGGCTCAGCTAGGATGGCCGCCCAGGTCTCCTGACGGAGCCAAGCAGAGGCCTCAGGCCCCTTTTCTGCCCAACTCCTGCCCCGGCCACTGGTGTAACTGGAAAGGACAGCATTGTTCCGTCACCCACCCTGGCCAGCCGCCTCACAAGCGCCATCACCACGGGAACAAGGCCAGCCAATCACAGAGCTCTGTTTTGAAAGGGAGCCTTATGAATTGAGCCTCCGGCCCTCAGACAAGTGCAGCCAACATCCGGAAGCCTCCCAGGGCCCCCTCCTTCTGGATAAACCAGTTCAGTTGCACCCCACTTTCCCCCAGGGTAAAGAAGGGGACTCTTCTGCCCGGAATGCTCAGGCCCAAGATGCAAGCCTCCAGTCACCTGGCTTAGAGCCCCAGTCCCCTGTGTGGCCAGGACATGATGCAGAAGCTTCTCAGGAGCCCCTGAGAGTTTCCAGCAGTAACCTGGGAAACACCTGGAGCAGTGAGAGCAACGTGAGGAGCATGCGACACTCCCACCTGGCAAAGGGCAGTGACACCAGCCAGCTGAGCAGCGGGTATGCAGGTGATGAGGAGAGCAGCGATGTCAGCCTGGTGGGCAGCAGTCAAACCGTGAGGTTGAACAGAAGACTCAGAACCCAGAGAGGCGGCACTCACCCTCCCAGCCAGGCCAGCAGCTCCCAGCAGACTGGAGGGGAAAAGTGAAACCAGCCTGCCCGGCAGCAGCACCAGCACCACCACCACCACCAGCGGCTCCCCTGGCAGCAGGGCCAGCAGCCTGACCAGCCTCCATTTCATCAGCCCGGGCAGCAGCTTTCTCACCTACCAGGTGAGCAGTGGGCTGGTCAGTTCCATGGGCAGCCTTCCCTCCAGCCAGGCCAGCAGCTGCCAGAGCATCAGGGTGGACTGCAAGGTGCCAAGTGGGCCGCAGAGCAACACCAGTCTTCAGGAGGACAAGGCTGGGGACAATGTGACAGCCAGTGACCAGGTCAACACGGGGGGAGCAGCCGGCCCAGAGGCACGAGTCTTTATGAGCAGATCCTTGAAAAAGGCAGATGTGAAGATCCAGCAAACCCAGAGTGGTTTTGGAAAAATGAGTGGGAAAGCCCTTTAAAAAGCACACACTGACGGTGTCAAAACCATCCTTGAGAACAGCTCCACCTGTAGGAACAACCATCAGCAGGAGCGGCGACAACAGCAAGAACTACTGATGACCAGCGACCACCTACGCTGAGGCGAATAATGGCTCAGACCATCAATGGGGAACCAGGGTTGGGAAGAACCGCTGTGTCAAGGTCACCAGTGGCAATGAAATCTGCCCTGTGCTCATGCCAGTGACGAGCCATCCCTAAAAGGACCCATCGAGGGCAAACCATCTATGATGAGAACTACCGTGGTGGGATCACCTGGGCCAGAGCTCATCAGTGGGGACAAGTATTATCAGTGACAAGTACCAACTCTGTTAAGAGCCATCTGAAGTTAGAATCCTCCATGATGTCACCACCCCATGTGATAAACACCATCTACAACCAATATCAGCCATGAGGGATCAGAAGAAGCCACCACCAACCACTGGGACCGTCTGTGACAGGGGGAGCCATGTCCCAGGGGTCAGGTCCTGGCCCTGCTCTGTAACACATGCCGCCCACAGGGGCAGCAGCATCTACAGAGGACACATGACAACAGAGCCCCGTCCCTGGGGCGCGTGGCCCAAGGCTGCTGTGCACTTTCCTCTTGTTCCAGGCAGCGTCAGCCCAGAGTCTTCCAGGAACAAATGCTCCTGGAGCCCCACTCATGTTTCTGCAGATCTCAGAGGAGGCAGAATGACAGGAAAGAATGCCAGAAATCACCCTTTGTGGGGACAGTTGGGACAGTGCTTTTTTATGGTGGGACAATGCGATGACAAATGCTTAATGGTGACAGATACCAGCCCAGCCAAGAAAGCCTGCGATGGGAGAGCTGGGGCCATCCAGTGGGTGTACGCTGAGTGGGCGGGGACTGCGGTCTCTGCCCTGCTCCTCCTCAGGGCAGCAAAGCCCTTCCCTGGGCTGAGCACACAGATGGGGGTGGGGGGAGGGTGGTGTCTGCAGTGACAGAGGCCAGGACAGCCACAAAGACATCCACTGGGTACCAGAAGGCAAGGTGAGGGGGCACCAAAAATAATAAAGGTGTCTGGAGAGGCCACACGTGTGTGAGTCTGTGTGCTTGTGCCCAACCCAGGTTATGATAATGGGCCAGAAAGGTGGTAACGACCGATGGGTAGAGGAGGGATTAGTGACCAACTCTGCTGCTGCTAGGCTGGTGGCCTGTGGTGAAACCCGTAAACTGCCTAAGCCTCAGTGTCCTCGTCTGGAAAATGGGAACAATAACCCATCTCATACACAGATAGGACGGTTGTGCCAAGTACAAAAAGCGCACACTGGGTGCCTAGCAGCAGTGGGCACGAAACGTTTGCTTCCTCCCTTTCCTCATTCTTCTATAAAATGGGCACTGTGCTTTCCGCCCTGCACAGCACCAGGATGAGCGACCACGCAGTGGGGTGACAGCTCACACCCGGCAGGGCACTCGGCCATGGAAATGAGAAGGAGGCGATGTGAGGGGGTGCCCAGGAGGACAGGCACGGTCCCACAGACTCAGGCAAATGCAGCCTCACTCAAAGGGTCATGACCAGGGACATAGAGACTGAGGGACAGAGTGTGGCCGCTGGGGGGTGCTCACAGGCAAGGGTATGGCTGGAAATGGGACATGGTCAGGGACAGGAACGTGCTCCATGTGAAAGCGTCGAGCTGTGCAGAAGCACCCTGCCCGTGGGAGGGCTGCATTTCCTTTTCCACTTGCTTTAGCCATGATGTCACTTCTGAGCGAGCAACTTGGGATGTCCCAGGTGGTGGGGGCTCTGCCCACCAGGGTCCCTGAGTGAGGAGGAGCCTGTAAGGGAGGATGAAGCCTCTGTGATTATGAGTCAGAGAGCAGGACCCGCGAGGGGTGCTTGTTACTGCAGTGCCACCCAGCCTGCCCTGACTGGTTTGGTCTGAGGGGGTGACAGCAGGGGCTGGGTTTAGCAGACCTTCCCCTCTCCTTTGCACCCCACCAAGTCTGGCTCCTCAGACAGAGCTGCTGTCTAAGCCAGAGCCACACCCAGGGCCCTCCCCCACACTAAGGCACACAGACAAGAAGAGATGCCAGCCAGCTGTCTGCATCTTTGTTGCATGAATTTCACTTGATTTCCCTGCAGGGGGCCTGGGGAGCTGCTCTTTGTTACACCCTGAGGATCCCTCAGGCCCCTGTGGAGCCTGCATTTATCCTGAGCTCTAGCAGCTCCATTGAGCAGCCCTGAACCAGGAGCTGTTGAAAAGATAATCCTCAGGCACAGAAGGGGCGTCTGAGAAGGGAGCCCCACGATGGTGCCAGCCAGCTCCCCCACACCCATGGGCTCCGCAGGGGACCAATCCCCCCAAGGCAGCTAACAGTGGTGGTGGCAAAACCTGCCTCCCACGATCCACAGGGACCATATTTCAGCTAATCTAAGATCCCATTGATTTTAGGGTGCATCTTTACGTGCCACTAAGAAAGAAAAAACACTGCCAATTAAACCAAGACACGGTGTTTTATTATCACTTAGAATTGTTACTTTATATGTATTGAAAGGGCTCTCTAGACTTATTAAAACATAAGTTTTTATCACATATCACTATTGTTCATATATAAAATGGAAGATATCAGCGAAATAAATGGCTCAAGTTTTCCTAAAACACCATTCAGAATTTGACTCGTGTGAGTCTCCTTACAATTCAGAGTCATTGATGTTTGTGTTTTTCACACATCATCATCTTCTGAGACATCAAGAGTGTAAGTGATGCACCATTTCTTTTATTTTTTTTTAAGATTTTATTGGGGAATTGGCGGAGGGAACAGTGCTGGGGAATTGGGGAAGGGGAACAGACAAGTTGCTGTCCTTTTGTTCTTCAGTCTAGTTGTGGAGGATGTTGCTTCACTGGCCCATGTTGGTATTATCATTGCGCTCTTCCCGGGTGAGGCAGATCGGTCACCAGCCTCTGGACGGCCACTCACAGCGGCTCTTGGCAGCTCACACCGGCTGCCGGCAGCTCACACTGGCTGCCAGCCACACACGGTAGCTTATGGCAGCCCATTGCAGCAGGGGCTGCAGCCTACGCCATCACCTGTGACTCACGGCAGCCCAGCTCCAGGTTGAGCTGTTGTTCACCATCTTAGCTATAGACGGCACAGTGTCACTGGCCCTCATGTGGGATCTGAACCAGGGCCCTGCTGCTCAGAGCTGGCATCCTAAGCCAGGTCTTAACCAATGCGCCACTCGGCCGGCCCACACCATTTCTTAAAAGAGTGTCCCACCATTGTCCCTGAGATTTCATTTCAAGTAGACACACACATTCTTCAGGATTTGATGCTGGCACTTTTTAAAAAATCTTGCCAAAAAGTTTCAGGCAACAACAACTGTGTCACTGCCAACCAGACCAACAAGGATTGTGAGAGGCCACTGATCACAAGACAAAACCTGATTTCAGAAACGTTAGAGTGTTTGGTGACGGGAGAATGTGTGTGTCTGAATAAGGAATGGGAACCTACCTTCCCAGTTCTGTTTCTAATGTAACAGGTCATAGTCTCTGGTCAGAAAGGTGTGGGCTCCAATCTCAGCCACCCCACCTCCTGGCTGCATGGGCTGGTAGCTACTGAGTTAACAAAATATCCCCAAATCTCAGTGGCTTAACACACACAATAAAAGTGTTTGTCTTCATGCAAATCAACTCAAGGCCAGGCAACATGGCAGGCCACTGTCCTCCACCTGCTAACTGCTCAGCACTGTGGTTCCACCACTGGGAGGACCCACTGGGTGCCTGGGGGGAGGAGAAGAACCCAAGCTATAGCAGAGCTGTCCCTGCTTCTGCCAGAAATGACACCCATCACTCCCACCCACATTTCATCACCCAGAACTAGTCACGCAGCCTTGGTCACTCAGGAAGGTGAACAGCCCAGAATATTTGTGCCAATAGTATGATCGAGCACAGTGACATCAGGCAATTTGCTAAACCTACGTGAACCCTCCCTTCCTTGTCAAAAGGAGGGCTATGACTGTGCCTATATCTTTAGATGGGACACACTGTGCACTGTGCCTAGCACATGATAACACTGAGTCCCTGGCTGTGACGGAACATGACCCTTTATGTCGCAGAGAGCACCCTTCCCACCTGGAAACTACTTTTCGTGGCCCCACGTCAAGGAAGGATGGAAGACGAGGGGGAGGAAGGGGCGGTGAGCTGCTTCCCTGGACAGCTCTGGTCCTGTGGTCCCGGGGCAGCCAGAGCAGAGGGCCGGAAGGCAGGTTTCAGGCCTCGTCTTGGTCCCCTGCATCCCAGAGCATGTAGGAGATCGCCCTCCCGGCTCTGCAACCAAGGCCGCACAGCGGCCACGCATCCGCAGGCTCTTGCTGCCCCCTCGTGGCGGCGCGCGGCTCTGCAGCTGTGCCTGCTGGACCAGGCGCGCCCCCGTGAGTTCCCTAGCAACCGGCCCCGGCCCCGCCCCCACGTGTTACCTAGCAACCTGCCCCCAAGGCGCGGCCCTGGCTCCCGCCAGTGCCCAGGCTGCAAACTTCAGCATCTCCTGGGCGGGCATCGCTGCAGGAAAGAGACAGAGTAGCGTCTCCCACAGCTTTTTTCTGAAAAGGTTTT